ATCCTCGGAGGCTCGGATTTACTTTTCGTAAAAATTATGTTGTGCATGTAATGCAAAATATTAATATGTTGATGCATACATTTTATTCTCTTCTTTAGAAATTTCATTCATTTTTTATTTTTTTCATTATATTTTTGAAGAAAAGAGAAATTTTTATTATATTGAAGATTTTCTATAAATATTTCAATACACTTATAATATTTTTAAAAAACCTTCTCACCTAGGGATTTCATAAAGTATTACTACTCGAAATACTTTCAAAATCCTGTCATCAGATATAATTTTTTTTTCCTTTTTTTCATTTTATTTTTAACAATTATTTTATTTTTATTTACTACTTTAGCAAAAAAAAAAAAAATTTTATTGTATTGAAAACTCTTTATAAATACTCAAATACGTTGGTAGTATTTTAAAAAAATCTTTTTACCTAGAGATTTTATAGGTATCACTACTCAAAGTACATTTGAATCTCATCGTTGGATAAAATTTTTTTATTATATTTTTTATTATTTTAATTATTATTATTTTATAAGTTTATTTTAAAATTAACAAAATTATCAAAAATTTTAACTATATATTTCATCATTTATTTTTATTTATTAATTAATTATTTATTACTATAAACATTTATTCTAACAAATTTAAACATTTTAACATGCATAAATATTAATAATATTTATGTTAAATAATAAAAATAATATTTTAAAAAAATTTTAAAAATTCAAAAAAAATTTTTTTTACCTGAACCGGATTTGTTAATGGTCTGATCAACGTCGGTCTAGGCGAGCCGATTGGCTACTATCTAGACCAGTTTGGACCGAATAGTAGTTCAACTGGACCAGTCAACAATTGAGGAATGCAGGGTCATCGGGTCGAGTGCACGGACCTAGGGTTCGGTCTCAGGTCGACGTAGGGATCCTTTAAGGTTAAAATGATGTCGTTTTGGTCCTCGTCCAAACGGGGTCATTTTGGTCTTGACAACGACTATAAAAGCCTAATTCTTTTTAATTCAATTTTGCTCTTCCCCTTCTCTCTCTACCCCTCTTTCTCTCCCAGACTCTCTTTCTAGCTTCAGCCGACCATCACTATTCCTAAAATATAATGCTGGTGCGCTGTGTGGTCCATCGATCACTAGTTGTTGGAAAACTTAAAACTTCAAAAAACCTTCTACTCAACCCCCTAAACATAGATCTGAGCCTAATTTTGTAAGAAACAGCCTTGAACTACATAGATCTAGCTTGAAAGATTTGACCAAAATGATTTTTGTGTCTCTTTTTTTTTTTTTATGCTAAGATCCTGTTTCAGGGATTGTGTTTTTGTTTTTGTTTTTTTGTAGTGTTTGATTCCATTTTTGTTTGACAAAAAAAAATTTTTTGGCAGTCAAAAATTTTGATATGTTTTTTCAATTTTTTGAAGGGTTTTTAGTTCTGGAGGGTCTTTATTTTTTTGGATCTTTTATGGCTTTATTTATAGAGCTGATCAGAATCAAAATCTAAGATTTTCTAAGATATTGCTGAATTTTAGCCGCCTAGGGTTGGGGTGGCTATCAGGGTGGCTGCCGATGATTGTCAGGGTGGCAATCAACGACTATTAAAGTTGTTGACAGTGCGACTACCGATGGCTAGCAGAAAAGGTATCTGAAAAAAAAAAGAAAAAGAAAAGAAAAAATAAATAAATAAAATGATGTTTACACAAATTATTAATGATATTAAATGTAATTAATTATAAATTAGTATTACTAAAAAATAACTTATTATACTAAAATCTAGTGTTGATCCATTTATATATTCTGAATATTGTATATAATTAGCGTAAAAACGGTAGCAAATTGGAGTAGGCTGTTAGAGACTACCTTTGATAATAAAGATAGTATTTGATATTATTTTTAAAATTATTATGGTAATATAATTATCAAAATAATTTTATTATCAAGATAATCATATTATTTGTGATTTGAGATTATTTTATTTGATTAATAATATTAATTCATAAGAATTAAAAATCATTATATTTGATATTTTTAAAAATTTAATATTTTTTATTTAAAAATACAAAAATAATCATATATATTGTAATAGTTATATAGTAATGATTTTAATGTTGTTTAAAAATAATAATTTTTAAAATATAATAATGTTTGTTTATTTTATAACAAAATAGGATTAAATTCTTAAATTAATAAATATATTTATTTATTAAGTAAACTAATTTTTATAATATAAATTATGTTAAAAAAATATTTGAATTAAAAAATAAAAATAATCTATTAAAATCATAATAATAAAAAAAAATTATTCCCACTGTCCCAAAAGGTTTTGGATATATTGACTTTCATGAAATTTAAAAAAAGTTTTGATTTTAATGTATTTAAAATTAAATTTTATTTTTTTATAAAATTAAAATTCCATGATTTTAATGTCAAAAAGTAAAAAAAAAAAATCATAAAAAATAATTTTAAAATATAAAATGTAAGAGTTTTAGATGTTCAAAAAAAAAACATAATTTTAGGATATTAAAAAAAAATGGACAAAAAAATAGAAAGACGGAGTATATTATATATAAAACATTAAAAAAATACATATATTATATATAAAACATTAAAAAAATACACAAATAAAAGATTATGAAAATTAATTTGAACATTAATTTGAAAATATAAAAAATTATAATATAAAATAATTTCAATTTTTTAAAAATTTTTTTAATTCATATATTAATATTTAATATTGATTATTATTAATTTTATATATTATTTCATTTTGTGATAAAAGTTTCATACATTTTTTAAAGATAAATAAGATAGTGATCTAAGATAACTATTACATAAGATCATAAGGTACTTATCAAATACGGTCATCTAATCATTATATCATTATAATTTTTTGAATGATTATTTATATTTATATATATATATATATATATATATATATATATATATTGAAGCCCTTTATAAAGGAGATTGAAGTTAAGTATCGGAGGATTACATTTTTTGTATCTTGTGCAGGAGGATCTCATTTATTTTTGTGGTATATGCAGCTGAGTTTACCATCTTTTCTTTCTTAGCCATCGGAGACTCTAGTAGGTATCGTTACTTACTCCAGCCAGCAACTACTAAGACCTGCCTTTTTGTCTTGTTGGCAGGAATAATAAAAGACCAAGTGTAACCAACAGTCTACAACCATAAACTTGGTTGCGATTCCAGCATTTTCCTTTCAGTGCTTGATTCTATGACCGAATGGTTAACACGAGTATCAAGAGGGACAATAAGCTCAGTAGCAGAATGTTGTTGCTGTGAACTTGAAGCTTAATTCAATTATTCATGCAATCATCTTCTAGCATTTGTAATCATTTTTTTTATCTAAAGTTATGACTTTTTCTGCAAAAAATAATAGTAATAATGTTGTTACACATAAGAGAGAATCCTATCTTTTTCTTGAAAATTGATTGTCAAATGCATAAAAAAAAAGGTGGGGGGATGGCAAAGCATTTAGAAAGATCTGAAGAAAGAAAATGCAGTAATCAATTCTCTATGCCGTGAGGTATTTAGCAGGTGAGAAACTTTACTTTTACACTGTTTCTTAAGAATCATACTCACATATGTTACATTCTAAGTTAATGCCTCTATAAATGATTCAATCATCTGAAACACAGGATTGTACTAAACAGCTGTCAGCTTACTTAGTATTAAATAATTGTAATTAGCATTTATGATGATTATGTCATTGTAATTAGCTCCTCATGATTGGCGTATATGCCTATATAGGAATATACTGTAATGGAATCATAACGAATGAATTGACTCATTTCCTTCCTCCTCTCAAATTCTGTTTTTCTTTCTCTTATCTTTTTCTGCTTTATTCTTTGCTCTCTGTGACTATCTCGATCAGTCCATAACAGGAAGAAGCTAATCCAATAAAGAAAAGAGTCAAAAGAATGGAGACTGGGTAAATGTCGGTGTCAAAAATATAAGCACATTGGTGGAAAGAAAACCCCAAACAAACAAAGAAGAAAAGAGAAAGTGGAAGCCAAAATGGTGAAGGGGCTTCTTGTCCCACTGAAAACTGCGACAACTTCACGTGTTCGTTGGCCTCTCTCTCGCTGACTGATGTCTATAGGCATATATCCGGTTGAATCAGTTAATATTTTTGTTAATCAAATAATAAATATATTTAAATTAAATTAAAATTAAAATTTTTTATATTTTAAATAAATTAAATAAAATTATCTAATACAATATTCAAATATTAAAGAATTACATTAAAAATTTTAACAAATTATAAAATAAAATAATCAAGTTTATATAATTTTTTATTTTATATTTAAATTATATTATATTTCAATTAAAATTTCATTTAATTCAATAATTTAATTTTTGAATTAAATCAAAATTTTAAAAAATTATTTTTATTAATCAATTAAAATTAATTTAATAATCGATCAATTTATTAAATTAAATTAAATCAATCAATTAATTCTATTAAAACCAATTTATAAACAACCTTACGACGCCTCTCTTTCATAATAATACCACAATAGTTTCTTTTTTCTCCGTTTTTGTCTGCGTTTAAGGATAATCGAGGGAGTGGACAACGTGTTCCTAATAAACAAATGGATAAAATTAAAAGAAAAAATTGTTTTTTTCTTAGTCGAAAGTTAAAGAAACATGTTAGGAAGTTGAAATTGAAGCAGTTTTGCTCGCTGTCCCTAGTGTGATGCTCCTATAATTCTTTCTGTGATTGGTTTGACTGCATCGAGCATTGGAAACGCTGTCGTTCCAATAAGAAGACAGCCCCCATGTTTTCAAAGCCTCTTTTTCTGCCGACCAATTTCTTCGAAAAACCGTTGCGTCGTAGAGGTAGGATTTTCTGTCCCTCTAAAACTTAAATTTTTAGCCGTAATTTATGTATTCCTATAAAATCTATTCCGTACTAAAATACTATATATAAAACACAAAAATTATAACAATCAATCTCGAAATATATTTTTTATTTTTGTTAAAATTTTAAATTATATTATGTTTTCATTTTACTGCAGTGTCAGTTTCATATCGAAAATTCTACCAGAGCTAGTGCAACAGTATTATTCGAAGAAAATTCTCTTTTATAAATGATTACATTTCGGGAAGGAGAAATTACTCAGTTAACATAGGGATTACTGCAATAGTGAGATCCATCACCGGGTAAAAACTGGGAAAAAGACGGATCAATTTTCTCGAAATTTTGTCAACATTTTTTTTCTCCATTAATTGATGTCTTCCCCGAAGAATCAATTCATAATCATGGGTATTCTATCCGCTTTCGTTTTATAGAAACATCATTTTCTTCAGATGTATTCCCAATGCTCAGATCCTTATTTCGACTGTCATTTTCCTTGCTTTCTTCTTCATATTTGAACGTCCAACCAGCAAATTCAGACTCAGAAAACAAAGAGGTGGGAGTTGCTCTATAAAACGCCAATGGAACCTGCTTTACCCGACGTCGAATCTGTACTTAAAAAAAGTAAAAGAATGAATTAAAGGAGCATAACGGAATCATTCCCTTAATAAATAACAAGCAATAACGAAAATGTCTAACTATATGGCAGGCCGTCCCAACATAAAAAAGCCCAGGAATAATGAAAGCTTATTCTCAAATGTCTCTTTCATGTTTCTGCAGATTGACCAAAAAGGATAAAGATGATATTACCTCGTCTCCAAATATTGTTGCATATGAACCAGAACTAAAATCTTTGATGTCCATTTCAGTGGTTTTGGATCTAACTGTCAAATCATTCTGCAGCGACAAAACAAACCTGAGAGAACAAGGAAACAGAAAATATCAGGTATCATATGCATAATGCATACAGTGTTCAAAAGGATAAATCATAGTGTTCTTACCTTGAAACAGGTGGGCAGTAATGGCTACGTAGGGTGTCTATTTCCCAAAGTGAACTTCCTGTTCAAAGAAACTTTGACCTATAAAATCCCATCAAATAAAGGAATGTCCACCATCCAAACTTAGATGGCATATTGGTGTCTACAACTACAAATGACATACATGAGGATAAAGCTGTACAGTACATATTCATGACTTGTATCATATGCAAAGCCTACTCGGTTCTGCCTCAGGCAGCTTAGATGTTTCTGTAGATTATTAAATAAAATGGAATTCACATTAAAAATGAAAGATGGAAAATACCACAATTTCCCAAGTTAATCAGCCTAGTCAAAAAGGAATTACAAGCAAAATACACTTATTTTGACAAGAAAGAATAATATGGTAACAATAAGAAATTTATGTCTTGCAGCAATGCACTCAAGAACAAAAAGAATCGGTGTCCAAGGAGTTAACAGCAAACTATCCAATGTTGAATCTATGAACAAAGAGAGTTGAAAACCTATAAGTTATTAACACTGCAGTTAAGTAGATACTTCCATTTTGCTATAGAATGCACAATAATTCTTTGTTAGGCTATATCCTTTATACTAAATACATATACATCCAGTTTACAATGGTCAAAGGTACAAATATTCAACAATCAAAGTACCCCAGGCCAGTCAAAGCAAATAGGTTTAATTTGATGTAAATGAGACATATTGAGAAAGATACTTACTCATGGCATTAGATTTTATAATATTGCTCTCCTCATTATTGAAATGATCAATACCAGGTCTTTTGTGAGAAATATCTGTGCCAGATCCAGAATCATATGCCTTGTTGACTATGCCCTCAGCTTTTGAATTACCCTTTGGAGTTTCATCACTATCTTCCTGCAGAATGCCAAAAAAAAAAAAATTCATTTCCCCCAGAGAAACACTTGTACCAGCCAAATTGATTAACTTTCTTGCACAATAATTATGGGAGGGAGTAAATAGATTAACTACATTTGTTACAATAATACCTGGTGCACCAAACAGTTAATTGATGGATGTCTACGTAACAGGTTGTGAATCAAAGCTATGATAACCAATGCTCCAGAAGGAGGGACAAAAAGTGCCAGTCTACTTAATTTCTTAGCAAAAGCAGCAGCCAAATATGCTGGAAGAAGTGGTGACTTCAGACAAGAATCAAGAAGCTGCAAAATAAGGAAGAAAGCAGATTAAATTAGAAGGTAGTAAATTGCAGCAACCAGAACTTCTCAGTTGATTTCAATATCCAACAATTCTAGATATGGTACAGACAACCATGCTCAGGACCTCAATGCTTACAACAAGAAACACTTAACGTATCTTGTTCTTTTAACATCAGTAAGTTTTACATTAAGCAGAACTGAAAATAAAGAAATAAGAATCAATAGAAGCAACCAGTAACAATAAGATCACTACAATTTTTTGAAGTATGAAAATGTTAACCATGCATGACAAGGTTGCAGGGTGGTCAAAGTTGATACCAGCTTTTAATAATGCATTTACATTTAGTATTATTATAAGTAGGTAAATTAAAGGTATCTTGCAAGTTTGATATAGTTTCACTGTTTGCATTATTGCTAAAGTGGAATTATCAACTTATCACAACAGTAAATAGGATACAGAAAATGTTTTCAGAATAAAATTTCAAGCTAAATGTTACAGTATCCTAGAGACAGAAAAGTGAACTTCTAAAAAAGAACACTGATCAAGTTAGCACTTTCTATTACCTGAAAAAATTTGGCTCTATGTTTTGCCATGAAGATAGAAGGTGCCAAAAGTGCATAAAGCTTTTCATAGAAGTTGGGGTACTCTAGACCGTGCTGTGTCATTAGGATGAAGAGGCTGCTAAGAGCCATGACACTAACAACACCACCAATATCATATGATCTTGTTAAAAAGTCACTGCACATTGTAGTTGATAAATCAGATTTCTATGACGATGCATCCATAAGAGCTAAAATGATTGAAGTTAGATTAATTTACCATAAAATGATAGGATTAGACAAATGAGGGATGACTGCCTGATGAAGAGTGGTAAGAACCTGAGAAATAGCAGGTAGGAGAACTGAATAAGAACAAGCATAACAAAGTCCATATCTCATATTAAAGGAAAAATAAGATGCATATAGAACAGCACTTAATATTAGGGCAAGAGAGTAAGACAGCTATAGTGTTTACCTCCTTGTATACATCAATAGGGATTGGTAGTCTAAGAAATGAAATCCATGCTTTAGTAAACTTCAATTTCATCTTCTTGGCAATAGCGGCTGGGGACAACACCTGAATGCATCATATTCCAACCCACAAAAACAACATAAAAAGGAACAACTTAATATTGAAAGTATCAAGTAAAATATGCCAAAAAAGGCAGACTGTCTGCTAATCTAAATGGAAATGATAGCATTGCAACATCTGCATCAGTAAATAACTGATAACTTACATCATTGTTTTGTTTCTCAGTCTTAAGCTCTTTGCCTTCTGCTTTTTGAAGCTTAGAAAGCTCTTTTTTATCATGCTCTTCTTTAGATAAAAATCCTGTATAGTGCAAAAAATAAATAAATAAATTTTGCTTGACCGATGAAGAAGCACATTTACTACGCAATTTAAAAGGGAACTTTATGTCAAAATGTCAACAACTTGCCAAGATCACTCACAGTACTCATCAAGCACAGGGAATAAAAGAAGATTAAAATCAGCAAATTTCCATACTAATATTGTTATCCAGGCAGAAGGAAGGAAATGAATCATAATCTCCTCGTAATCAAGGCTCTAGATGATTATCAACAGAATAGTTCTTCTGAAATTAAAATCCATAATAAAATAGTTAAAGAACAACTACTCTAAATATAGAAAACAAAAAGAATCACCTGATCCACTCCACATCTCATACTCAAATTTTCCATCAATGCCTTCCTGAGGGGGGATGTGAGATATAATATAATATATATTGTGAATAGGAAGCTCCATGCTGCAACAAAACAGAGCAGCAACTCAGAAACCTTCTGTTCTGTTTTTTTTTATTATAACAACCATCCAGCAAGGTAAAGATGATATGGGTGAACATAAGATGATTGTAAATAATTTTTATGTCATTTAGAAAAGAAAACAGGTGACAAAATGACAGTAATTTCATTTGTCAATCCAAAGTTCATCATTCAGTACAAAACAGATTTTTAAGTAGATTTATTTTGCAGCACCAAATCATAAGAGTATAGGAAAAAAGTAACTTGCAAAGATATTGACAATATGATTGCCAAATCTAACCTTTCTCTTGACTGACTCCCACTGTCACCAACTCCACGCACAGCTTTGTCATCATCTGAACCATGTAAAAAAATGGAAAATAAATTAAATAAAGGTTTCCAAAAAGAGATGTATTTTGGAATAGAGACTATGGCTAAAAGGTACCAGGGACATCTTTTGCGTCCAAAGTTTTAGCAAGTTTTTCCATGCTAATGAAGGTAAAATACCTGTGAGAGTCAAAAACCAAAGTACCATTTAACATGAAGCAAGAAATGACTCTTCCCAAAGACACTATGAGATATAGCATAAAAGTCTCAGAAACTATAAATTTGTGCTGTTGAAGGGTAGCCGACAAGAAGAAGGTAGAAAAGTACAAGAAGGAATTGAATTTACAACAATAATGCACTATCACCTTTTCCATCAATAACAATGACAAATAGTCAGCATGCCATCCAAAACCAAAAATAGAAGGGAATTGGAACACAGACAGGATTTAACAATTTCTGAAATAATGAAACTCCAAACAACATGTTAGTAGGGCATTTACAACGGACATCCAGAGTTCAAATCATACCGGACATCAATATACTTAAAATACTTCGATGCAAGCAACTCTGATAAAAATTCAACGGGTGTTGGAGACTGAACCTGAAAATATTATAACCAATTACAAACAAGATATTAAAAGTAAATAGAAATAAGTATAAACCCCTAGAAGCATAAGTTTAATTACGGATTCAAAAAAAAAAAAAAACACTCACTATAATGCGCAGTAATTTGTGGTAAATAGCGGAGTAAAACCTTCCCCCATTTCCTAGCTTCACGAATTCCATGTACGAATCCAACACAATTTCCTAAAAAGAAAAGCAATCAAAACGCTGCTGCCAATTTCAAATTTAAGAACACAAAACGAACCAAAAAGGAAAGGATTTGTTACTCTCAAAGCTTCTTCGGTGTCCGTTGAAACCAAAACTTCAATCAACAATGTTATGAACTCATCGAACTTTGATCTCAGCCACGTTCTGTAGATAAACTCAGGATCCTCCTTGGCTGAATCATCGAAACGCTGCCTTTTCATTGAAGATGAAGACGGAGGGAGGTCGGGGAGAACTGTGGTAAAGAAGGATTGCAGCGAGAGGAGTGATTCGAGAACGTGTTGAGGCGGCGACGATGGCGATATGAAGGTGAGGAGGATAGGAAGATTGTTGATGTGAGCTCGTGAAGAGAGCAGTTGCTGCCCTATGGTTTTCAACTCTTTCAATTTGGTCTTCTTTGGTTTTTTTGTGAGAATTGACGCCATTGTTGAGAGTTTAGAGAGCTTCGAGCTAGTTTCAACTTGGAGGGAACGGAGGAGGGAGTGAAAAAGAGAAATATCGCAGTTTTGCTAGGTTTGTTTTGAAGGAAGGGTTTAGCAGTTTCAGTCTGTTTGGTCACGTGGAGTTTATCGTTCTCGTTAGGAATTGGACTGTATGGACACATAAGAAGAGTGGTCATGGCGGTAGAGGGGGTGTTCGGGAAGGGTAAGGAAGGAGGGTTTCGTGGAGTGGGCTGTTGGGTTTAGTTTTAGCCCAATTAAATAAGTGTCCAAAGCTGTGCCTATTAGATATGGTTTGGGGCCAGTTGGTAAAAACTGTTTAAGGCAAATCCGCAATGATTTTCTATCCATCAAGAGCCCATGAAAAAGTCGTGATAAATTTTTTTCTTTTATCAATGTGTCAAAATCTTAAGAAAAATTATTTAATTTAGTATTATATTATCCCTTATTTTTTTAGATTTTATGTTTGAGATTAATAAAAAGACACATTTTTAAAGATATACTAAAAACTAACAAATAATTAAAATTAATAATATGTATCAATCTTTTAATTTAATCCGTAAAATTAAAAATATTCACTAGCGATATAAAAAATAACTAAAAAATTATACCCCTTTTAGCATAAAGAGTGAGCAGTTGGCTATTCGTACAACACTTTTATTAGTCTTTTCCATGAAAATAATTTGGAAAGGTTGGTTTTGCTCAAAGAAAATAAGATGTTCTAAACAATTTTCATATTACAACTTGGAACTTCTAGATATATAATTAATATTTAACATTCTTTTGATTAAAAGAAAGGTTTCACCAGAGAGAAAAAAAAAAAAAAAAAAACTTTTACTTTTACAATCGCATGGAAGAACTAACTATCAAAATTAAAAAAAAAAAAAAATCATAAAAGGATGAAGTCATCGTATCAAAACCTACAAAAATCAAGGCCTTTGTTTGTGAATATATGTGAGACCTGAATGCCTGCGGGAAGGGATGTATTCATGTCAAATTCCCTAATCGAAAACTATGGACCGTAAGAAAAGCATGGCCAGGAGCTCTTTCTTATTTAAACCAGTATTCCATCCTACGTTGAGCCTTTCTTACCCTTAAAAAATAACTTCATCTGCTGAATCCTCTCTGCCGTTCACTTCGAACTTTTATCAGGATCACTGATCACACAAAACCAAAAATTAAGATGCAAATCACCATCAGTAAAAACTTTAACTTCAAAAAAAAAAAGACTAAAACACATTAATTCTACGTGCCATCATTTATTCCTATAATTGTGCTATAATTATAGAATAAACAGAAATAATTAAAACCAGACATGGTTGTTAACCTTTGAGTTTTCAAGCATTTTTTATCCCAAGCTGCCGTAGAGAGTCAGGACCAACAAGAAATACACGTCTTGGTGGCTGGTATCGGAAAACCACTACTCCTTTATATGCTGTTCTTGGTACACCATCCTAGATAATGAAGCAATGGAAGTTTTTGAGAAGAATGGAACTAATCAAATCTTAGATATGAGAAATTTTTTAGTGGTTATTTGTACTACAACAACAAAACTAAAACAGCAATACTTTTTAAATCAACGTCATTTCGTATTCTGTCAGGCATTAGGTGAAACTGAATGAATGCTTATAAATCTACATGCTTACAGGGCACATGAAAATAAGAGAGAGGTCATTTCAACAGTATCAATGGCCATGCAAGGTGTTTCAGTATTTTCAAAAGATCAGGTAAAACTGAAAGTACAAGATTGTGGCAACGACCATATGCAGTGGTTAGTAAATAAGCTGAAATCGTATTCTACAGCTAATAAACCTCATATCCACCAAAACTTTGAAGTTGTACCAAACACAAGTTTCAAGAATCAAGTATAAGGCTATCAGCCAAGGAAACCAGATATGTAACCAGGCCTTTCTCTGCTATTATCACCAGAAACTCTAAGCATTTTCATGAGAAATAAAGAGAAGAAAAATACCCAAAATATCACAACATTTTACCTTCCATTCTTCAAACACTCCAAACTGGTGTGCCAGGCGTTCAAAGTCTGATTGGTCTTTATACTGAATACGCACATCCCCTTTTATGTTAGATGCCTTAAGAACAGCATCCGTTCCAGGGACAGGTTTTGCTTTTTCCACCATGTCGGCAAAATATTTCTTGTATTTGTCCTAGAAAGAAACACAATTATACATGAAAAATGTAAAAAAAATGACAGGGAAAAGCAGTTTCCAGTTCCACTGATTTTACCTCCATTAGGTAGCTCAAATCCTGTGACTTCCAGTCCACCTTTCATACAGAAAAGCAACAGCATTATTAGGATGATGGCAGGAATATAAGAAATTTTAAAGAGAATTATAGAAAATTTTTATGCCAACCTTAATGTCATTCATCTTTATAGGCTCAAGATATTTTTGGAAAAACTGTCCCATACTAGAACCCTGATTGAAATCAAAAGATCAAAAAACAGGAAATGAGTCCACAGTTATAAAAAGGAGATACAAAGATCCTGTCAAAAAACCACAAAATGTCAACGCCCTTTCTGGGGGAAATTTAAAATTACAGAAGCTGCCTATGCGAAGTTACTGAGGGGGACACACACCTAAATTTATGGGAATCTTAATTTTATTTCAGCATGAGAACAAGTCATTCCAAAAGTTGAAGAAGGGAATTCTCTAATTAAAAATATATAGAGAAAAAAAAGAAAAACTGAATAGACTGAAGTCGTAGAGGTATTATATTCATCTAAGTTTATTGTTCATTCTTGCAGAAGCGAGAATCACTGCACATAAAATTCTCAACAGAAAACGTGTGCCTCATTGTTCTACCTAGTTCCTATGCACAACTAAGACACATGTACCACCGGATGGCCTACCAAGCAAATATTCTTATAAAAGGTTAAAACATTCACAATTTGACATCACAGCAATTTTACACTTGAAATCTTCTTAACAGCAAGGTGATATACTCACATGCTCACCAAAATTATATGTTCTGCAAACTTCAGGGCGGAGAAATTGTCGACCTTTGTGATTCTCTTTTAATCTCAACCAGTCATCCCAGTAAGTGAACATTGGTCAAGGAAAATTCATTGATGAAACTACATCATATGCATTAGTATAATGTACAAAATAGTGCAATCACAATATACTTAACAAAGAAGGATATGCTTTTGGCCACTTTGGTGATAGCTCATTCCATGTAGATCTAGTAAGCATCCACCCAAGACCAGGGAAGAAATCTGAGCGATAAAGTGCATCTGCATAGAATGATTAAAGCAGATTAAGAAATAGAAAGCACCAAAATTTATCTTGTTCAAGCATGAGCATGCAAAAACAAGAGCCCAAGTGATGCAGAATTAGCCCCATAAAAACAAGAATATCAAAATATAATCTTAAGTAAGCTAATCCCTCAATTAGCTTACTAGTGTTCTGCACCACCAGGAGTCATCCAGAAGTTGATTGCATAATGACAGAACTTCATGTATATATTGAACATGAAGAGAGAGAGAGATGGATGCCAGGAAAATGATCAAACATCCAAATGCTGATGCTCTGATAAATATGCTAGGACGAGGATAAAATTAAAATGAAAAGCTCCACCTTACAGTCAGAGTCCACCCCAATTTTTCAAGTAAGCACCAAAAGGGAAGATTAAGAGATGTTCTATCAAACCATATTTTTATCAAACCAACTAAATCTTGAACATAAAAATGCATTAAGCTTGATTGTTCTCCTGGAAAATTAATTCTATTTGGAGAAAAAAAAAAACTTACATGGGTCATGCACAAACTGCTTTTGCCCATTGTCATTCCATGAGGAAACAGCCATAATTGACCTATCACAGTTTAATAACAAGAAGATGAAGGGAGAAGGAAAAAGATCACAACTCAAAAGAGAGAGAGAGAGAGAGAGAGAGAGAGAGGAAGCTTGATTTCATTCATGTGACATACTTATCCTTGTCGAGAAGGGCTGAGGCTGCCTCAAAGTAATCAAAAAAATCAGGGGCGATTTCCATATCGTCTGTCTTTAAAAGTGATTCTCAGTCAGTACGAATTTCCTTTTGCCATAAGTGATATACAGAAGAAACTTTGAAACAATAACCAAAAGACAACATCACCTTCAAGTATGATTACTCGGTCAAAATTGTGCTTGTAGAACAACTCATCCAATGCCCATTTGTAGTGACCTTAAGGAACCAAATGTTTAAGAGCTAAAACTTGTAGAAGCCATGTCAACATGAAGAAAAAAGAGAAAAGAATCCTTACGAGCAATCTTGTAGTATGCAATCAATTCCCCAGGCCTTTCTGTATGCACTGGATCATAATCCAAGTGCTGAAAGAACCGTAGTTAGCATTCACCGAATTGGTTTTGGTAAATAAGGATACCATAAACCATATGAATAGGCCATGAAAAAGGATTCATCCAAATAAACTTTTACAACAGGGAGAAAGAGGGGGACAGAGAAAAACACAATTTACCTGCATATATGTCAGCTGATTATAACTCAAAGCCTTACTTCTAACATTTGGATCTGATCCATCCTGAGAAGAAACTATCATAATTAGAAGCCTTGCTTCTATTAATGACAACAAAAGAACAGTAATGTGTTTGTTGTGCATGAAGTATAAATGTGTCAATCAAGTCAGACAAAACAACTTTTTATTACAAATAAAGAATAAGATTATAAAGTAAATACCTGAGATACAAAAAGGGGATATTTTGAAGCAAGAGAGCTTTGATACCTGCAGAGATTTGAGCCAAAGTAAGTTAAAAAGTACCCACCATTTGGTCAAACAGACTAAGCTAGCAAACAAACTCATGTCAATATCAACATACTTTAAGACAGAAGCAATAGTCCTTTCCAGATAATCAGCCCGATTGCATGCCATTATGACAACTGCTGCCACTGGTACCTAAAACATTCAACCGAAAGATGGTTGGAGTTATTACGACTGATGATATGTGGAGATAAGAATGCTCATTAGTCATTATCTCACAAACCTGTGTTTTGTCAATTATTCTTTGAAGGCCTTTCTCTGAAACAACCAAAAAGAAAGAATGCTAAGTGTCTGTAAAACATTCCAAGTGCCAAATCCAAGAAAATGCCTTAGTTGAAGGAATGACGCAAAAAAAGACTCGTACATACAGAAATGAAAAACCAAAAATAAATAAATAACATTTTAGAACAAATTTAAAGATGCTTAGCAAAAATAATTAGGGAAAAAGTGAAATAAATGCCAAATTACTTTGATGAAGGAGAAGAACAGCCTTCATCAAGACCCGGCTACAGACCTACATAGGGTGGATGATGCAATGACATGGATAACAATGTTATAATTGGTAATGAAGTTTATTTGCAAATAAAGGCACTTATAAACAGCAAACCAGTAACATAAATTAACTATAATAATTACATAGATCACAATTTTGGAAAGATCACATGACCTGAACATCACTTAATGTATGCCTACAATCCATAGAAGGATCTTCTTAAGGAGTATATACTCATAATCAAGGAAAATGAAATATCATTAACTATGCAACAAGAAGGAAACAACAAGACATAAACAATTCATTTCTGATAGGAAAATACTTTCAAGATCTTGAACAAGAGCCTTCAGTTGTGCACACTCCTGCTCCTTTCGCTTCTTCCCCTCTGAAATTGTAACATGGTCAGAGTGAATGAATTGACTACCAGAAATAAAAAGGAAAAAAATAATAATTTCGACCTTGTCTACTGAAAGGAAGCATGCATAAAGGATTAAGGAGGAGGGGGGAATTCACACCTTCCAAGGCCACAATTTGTTCTTGTTGCATACTTATTTGATCAATGAGTAGGCGCATTTGACTTGAACAATGGTGCTCTGCATCCATCTGTCAAAATTCAAGCATAATAATATCCCATTACAACAATCATTAAAAAGCTTCTCCATTATTTGCTAGACAATACAAGAATGAAAAAGACGGCATGTTCAACACATAAACTGTTCATATTTCTTAGGTTTTTACTGAGTTTAACAAAAAAAAAAAAATGCTGAAGCTTTTGAGAGCTAAATCAAGCAATAAACTTAAAGATACTGACCGCTTCGGCTATTCGATCGGCATATTCAGATTGCGTGGCGAAAAGCCGCATCTAACACAGAAAACAATTTTCGAAATAAGCATCTAATTTCATATAAGTAAAACTTGAAAATTTTGAATTCAATGAAAAAGAAGAAAAGGAAAGGGAGCAAGGGTTTGGTTACCTGGATGTAAATGAATACGATTGCAGCGGGGATGAGAAGGAACCGGTAATCGCAGCTTAGCTTAGCCATTTATAATTCTTCTTCGGCTGACTCAGAACAATGGAGATTTTCAAATTTCTATCAGATTTTTTTGCAAATTTGATTTTGAATTTTTTGTCATTCAATCTTCATTTATTTAATCGTAGTGATTTTAGAAGCAGCAGTGAATGGAAAATTTTTTATTTGACTTGGGCGTTGAGTCCAACTTACGCAGACCTCGCTAACATGCGCCTCTACTTTTCGTTTTTTCCGAGTTCTTTCTTTCTCCTTTTACAATTTGTTGTTGTTTTTAGTTTCTCAATATTTTGGATTAAGTTTGATTATTGATGATGAAAAATGCTTAGAAAATAAAGATAAAAGTATGAGTTTAACTAGTTGATTTATATAAATATTTTTATATTTTTTTAAAATAATATATTTAATAAATTTAAATTTTAAATATCAATATTTATAATTTATTTTTTTATTTTTAATTTACGATCATATGATTTTTTATGTATAAAAAATTAGGCACATATTTTCTTATAAGATTCTGTTAATAAGAAAATACACATTTAATTAAGAGAAAATTTTCCTTTTAAAATATATTTTACATTTTATTTTCTTAAAAAAAAAAGTGAAGTGAAAAATAAAAACACTACCGGATTCCTGAATTAACAATTTTATATTGATAATTTCAAATTAGAACAATTGAAGTATCCATTCCACAACTTCCTAGCTTAAAACACATTAGATTATTTTATTTTTAGAATGCCTTTTAAAAAAATCAAATCTTAATTGATTAAAAAAAATCTCATTTCCTCACTACCAATTGAATTAATTCTTATGAGAAAAGATCTAATTCATTGTTCTAAGCATTTGGTTACATGATAACTTTTGCTTATCTAATAGTATACCTTAATTCACACTAGAATTTTGCCCTCGTTTCACTTCGGGATTATTAGTATTCATTGTTATTGTTCTAATTTATATTACGATAAATTCAATGGATAAAGTAAAATAATTTTTTTTTAATTAGCTTCCTTTAATAATCAAGAGAATTACAAAATGAAAGCAAGGTTATTTTATGAAAAAACATGGGAACATCCATAACATATAAAATTCTAACCTTTCAAAAGGTATACAATAAAAGAAGGACAATCAGTGTTAGACTTTGATACATATCAAAAAAAAAAAATATAGACGATGATAAAATACACGTATAATAATTGAATGTCAATTTTATTCATATCTAATAAAAAATTTGACTTTTTATCTAAATTGGGATAAAGATAGATATTATATTATGGGTATGAGAATGTGTATAATTTTAAATTTTTATTAGGAGTTGAAAATGGATAATATAATACATGTCACATGTCCATACCTTATATATATTTATACATATTTAGTAAATAATTTTTTATTAAATAATATAAATTATTATTTTAAATTAATTAGAATTAATACATTTTTATTGAAAAATATATATATTAATATATATTTATTAAAAAAATTAATTAAATATACAAGATAAAAATAAAAAAAGTTTTAAAAAAATAAATTTTAGTTTTTACTTGTTTTTTTAAGTTATGGGTATGAGAATTACTCATGCCCATTAAATACCCACGAGGATAAGGATGATGATAATTTTAAAATACTCATTGAATATGAGTATGAGATAGGTATAATATAAAAATTTAGGGATAAGAATGAAGAATGTTCTGCCTTATATGTATTCTACCCATTGACATCTCTATACAACAATACTTTCACCATAAAACTTATGCCAGAAAAAAAAAGTTACAAATGCAAAATCCTAATTCACCACCATAAAAAAGCTTTTTTTTCACCTTGAAAAGGAATAATGGATGAATCTGTAAGATGCAAAACAACAAATGTAGAGCAAGGTCAATATAAGTGCATAAAACAATAATTTTACTATTAAATCGCAAATTCAAAGAAAAGAAAAGTAATGACTAATATGAAAATGAAGAAAAAATGTTGATACTTAAATTGCTTATGTAATGGAAGAAAACTGTTAGTTTTGAAATGATCCTTATTTTGAAATGATAAAATATTAATCTAAATAAGCTTAATCAAGATTTTAAAAAAGATTTATTTAGTACATGTTCTTAAATTTTATATTTTGATATTAAATAAATAATATGTTTTTCAAAGTGTAAACAAATATTTCTTTATTTTCATATTTCTCAAACTAAATTTATCTTTAAAGATTATTTATTTGAGCTTAAATGAAAATCTAATTGTTGTTTTTAAAGTGAACTTATTCATTTGGACTTAATACAATTTTGATAATATTGGTTTTAAGAAATAGATTAACTTAAAAAAGTTGTTTTACAAGAACAAAGTTTTTCAACATTAAACTTATTTTATTTTTTTGTATTAATTCACAAAGTTTTAATATTTGAATTTTATATGGTTAGAAAGCTCTTTGATTCTACTTTCTAATGGATTAAACAAAATCAAAATTTAAATTTTTTAAGAAAAGATTTTGAATTTTTACTAGACACTCTATAGTTATCTAAAAATTGCATAAGAGGTAACTTTAAAATTTCACTATAATTCGTACATAATGAACTAGGAGATGGATTTTATATGGATAGAAAGTTCTTTAAGTCTAGTTTCTAAATCTTAAAACGGTTTGTAATTTGCATTTGTATAACTCAAGATATGATCAAATCAGTGAGTAGAGTGCAAAATAAGATACAACAAAGCAACTTGACAAGATCGATCCTTTAGCTAAACCAATCGATCCCCTCAAGGAAGGATCAATCAGGTCATGATTTTTAAAGAAAAATTCGTTCGAATCATGAACCAATCAATCTCCTCATGGAAGGGATCGATCAGGTCTTATCCAGAATGCTCCAACGACTACTTTTTCATGCTTCCAACAGGTATTTCTTCACTCCAAGCTTCCCCAATGGCTAGTTCTTCAATTTTTCCATATATTGGTCACTTCAACACAACAAAAAGGTTGACGAATCAAAAAAGCAAAAGTCAAGAAGTCATATTTTCATTCTCTCAAAGAATCAAGAGTTTTTAGAACTTTAAAGTTTATATCTTTATATTCATTGTATCCAAATTATATTTGTTGTTCATTCATCATTTTCTTGTACCTAAACTTTGCAAACACTTAGCCTTAGAGAAGTTTTTCTATTATTTGCAAAATTATCTTTGATATATAAAGGTGAAAGAGAATAAGAGGTGAAGTATCCTCTTGAAAGCTTTGTAGTGAGATTGGATAAAATATTACAAAGGGTAGAAGTTTTTATTTTAAGCCTTAGAAAGAAAAAAAAATGTTGTATTTTTAATTCAAAAATTATGGATTGAAGCTTTGGTGTGGACAACCAAGAAGAGAGAACGTAAGTGCCTTATGAAAAAAGACTGAATCTCCATAAATCATTGTATTTGATTTTTCTATCCCTATCTCTTTACAATTTATTATTGTTTATATTTGATTTTAGGTTCATTAATTGTTATTGTTTGCATTATATTTTCATTAAAAATATTTATTGTTTTATTTTTCATTCAATTATATTGAAATCATTTGTTTGGGAAAAATTTAGAGAAATTCAATTCACCTCTTCTTGGATCATTATCTCACCTAAAAAGCTAACAATTGATATCAGAGCTTTGATCTCTTTTTGTAGGTTTAACCACCTTGAGTAAAAATCCTATGGCTCAATTTTGGTTTCAAGATGATGAGGAAGTCCTCAAAGCTCCTATGGTTAATAAATTTAAATTTTGTGAATGAAGAAGAAGGATGAAGATGTTCATAATGGCCTAAGTTTTAGAGCTTGAAATGTGGTTGAAAAAGGGCTTGAAATTTCTTCAAATGATGCAACCTACATGAGGCAAATGATAGATGATACCAAGGCCAAGTGCTTATTATATGGAGCTTTTGACTTTCATAAATTCAACTTGGTATCAAAGTGTCCAACCTCAAATTAAATATGGGAGAAATTGAATGAAATACATGAAAGACAACAATCCAAACGAAATACATCACGTCTCATGGCTTTTAAAGATCTGGAGGTAATATCTAATTCTATTAATTCAAATTCATATGATTTTGATGAATTGTAAGATGCTTATAATGTGCTATATCTTGAATATGAATCAATGAATAGGAAATATAAGAAAATAATTTCAAAGTTGAATGTTGAGAATGAGTTTTTAATGAATGTAAAAAATGTTTTGGAAAAAAAAAATGAAAAATTGAAAATAGATTTTGAAACATTTCAAAATAGGTATGAAATTTTTCAAAATAGGTATGAAATTTTAGAAAAAGAAATTTTTTATTTGAAAAAGAAATTCGATGTTTTGATGAATAAAACAAGAGTTTTTATATAAGAGTTTAAGTGTTAAAATGATTAAATGCAATTTTTATAATTTTCATGGTCATACTATACATACTTGTCATATTAAAAGAAAAGTTTCATTTAAAATTAGACAGGTATGGGTTCCTAAAGAAATAAAAAACTTGCTCACTAACTCTCAAGGATCTAAAGTAATTTGGGTACCAAAAATCAAATGAGATTTCTCATATAGGTGTGCTAGAGCAATGAGCCATAATGTGAGATTAAAGATTGAATACTCTAGATACACAATGGAGATGGGTAACCTCTAAACTTTTATTTGAAGAGAATTTGAATTTGATTACCTATTTTTGATGAAATTTGAATGCTTGATTGATTATGCAAAATTTGGTTGACATTAATTACAAGACATATGTTGTATAATCTTGAGAAAATGCGAGCTTGAGTTAAGTATGCATTTATTTTATTTTTTTTGAATGTATGATTTTAATATATTCCTCATGCTTGTTGATATTGTGTTTAATGCTTGAGATATATTTTGTATATGCCTATATGACCATATTGATTAAAATTACTCAATTTGTTCTTAATGCTTGGATAGTGTGAAATATATTTTTAAAACTTGATTGTTATATTCTAAATTATTTTAACTCTTGATTTGTGATTTTAAAAATTGATGATCATCTTGTGCTTAAATCATAAATATTGATGTTTGATTGTTCATCTTTTGATTTCTTATGAAATATGCTTTAATTCTTTATCCTTATTAATTCAAGATCTATTTCTTCTCTTGTGATTGATGAATTGATGAACTTTATGTGCTTAAATGAAATATATTGATTCTTGGCTCATCTTTATGTTTTTTATCAAGATATGTGCTCATATGATTATTAATTCAATTTGACCTTAATGCTTGTGGTTTAAAATGCTTGTAGTTTAAAATGCCTGAATTATTTATCTCTTGATTGTGAAAGTTATTTTGTGAAATATATTTATTTTTG